TTTTTTTTTTTTTTTGGGTGATTTAGTATGACTGTGACTGATTCGAGCCCCATGGTTGTGAATGCATGCAACTGGCCGATGCATCGTGCATTGGATGGATGATCAGGAATCACCGAGCCGATAAAGGCAGGAGCTCGAGACGGTAAGCTGGGGGTTGGAAAACAGGAACAAGACGAGTTCTACACTGCGGAGGAGAATGTCGAGAGGAAGAAACTGAATGTGGAGGTGGAAGAGACCGAGGATATGGCGAAGAAACGAGAGGTATTCTGCCACCACCACACCCTTTCTTTCTCATCATTCCGCGACTCATTTCAGAGTCGCTTCTCTCTTCCTCTTTGTCCGGAACACACTAAAAAAAAAAGGAAAAAAACAAAGAAAAAAGAAAAGAAAAAAGAAAAGAAAAAAAGACGCTTCAACTTTCCCGAGTCCTTTTCCCCTTCCTGCCTAGTTGAAGTCCCTTATCCTTCCCTTTGGAGTTTTTTTTTTTCTCATCATTTTAGACACAACCGCTCGTGCTATTATTTGTGATGTTGTGGGAATGCCCACCTTTGATCTGATCTGACCTGACCTGGTCTGATCTGACCTGATCTGATCTGATCTGATCTGATCTGATCTGATCTGATCTGATCTGATCTGACCTGACCTGGTCTGATCTGACCTGATCTGACCTGATCTGATCTGATCTGATCTGATCTGACCTGACCTGACCTGATCTGACCTCGTCTGATCTGATCTGACCTGGCCTGACCTGATCTGATCTGATGGTCTGATCTGACCTGACCTGACCTGGCCTGACCTGACCTGACCTGACCTGACCTGACCTGATCTGATCTGATCTGATCTGATCTGATCTGATGATCTGATATGATCTGGCCTGACCTGGGCTGACCTGACCTGACCTGATCTGATCTGATGATCTGATATGGTCTGACCTGACCTGGCCTGGCCTGACCTGATCTGATGTGATCTGATCTGATGATCTGATATGATATGATCTGACCTGACCTGACCTGACCTGATATGATCTGACCTGTCCTGGCCTGATCTGATCTGATCTGATGATCTGATATGATCTGAGCTGAGCTGAGCTGACCTGACCTCACCTGATCTGATCTGATCTGATCTGATCTGATCTGATCTGACCTGACCGCACCTGATCTGATCTGATCTGATGGTCTGATCTGACCTGACCTGACCTGACCTGGCCTGACCTGACCTGACCTGATCTGATCTGACCTCACCTGATCTGATGTGATCTGATCTGATGATTTGACGATCTGATATGGTCTGATCTACAGCTTATTGATTAGAATGCTGGAGGGCAGTGGTTTGCTGCCTCTTGGAGGAAGAAATCCATCCTGCCTTTGGCATGCCGTGAAACGGCCTGGCTCGCTCTTTCCAGCTCGCGCCGGATGTTAGGAGCCGGGGTACGTACATATCAGGATAGTATTGTGAGGCATATGAGTGAAGAATATAGCTAAGAAGAAGAAGAAGAAGAAGAAGAAGAAGAAGAAGAAGAAGAAGATATGGATGGAATGGATGGCTATGGCTATGACGAGAGGTGTCTTCCTGGTATTGGACAGTGGCAAGACTGCATGACTTTTGGGTTTAGGCTGCTGTCTTAACCCGACTAGAAAGGCTGTCCTTGTAGCTGCATCTGGACTGAAATCTGGCCCCAATACAAGCTATACAATGTCCAGGTGTTCTATTCGGGTGAAAATGGTAGAGATATACTCTGGTGGGGAGCCATCCTCTTGCGGACTACAGAGTTACAAGAGTGAAGAAGAAAAAGTTGAAAACTCAGTGAAGAAGAAAAAGGCGAAAACTCAGTGAAGAAGAAAAAGTCCAAAAGTCGGCAACGCCAGCGCTTGTACAGAACTTAAGGCGGCGGCTCAACCCATAGCTTGAACCCTTGATCCTCGTCAGGCGGTAGTCGGTTGGGATTGGTCATTCGGAGAGAGAACAGGAGCACGTGGACATGGGAGATAAACCACCAGTCCCGCAAACAAGGTGCACCGGCTCACCCATGTGTCGTTTTGTGGATGTCCATTTAAAAAAAAAAAACGGCACATGTGAGCCCACAGCCAGTGTAATTCATCCATCCATTCGACTATATATATATAAAAAAAAGAAATGTCAGAGGTCCGCGTCGCTGGGAAATGGACTGGAGGTTGTTTAACAATGACTGCCTTGAGATATATTCAAACCACCGGTACCTAACGCATTCTTAGCGCCCCCCCTCAGAGATGGAGGATGAATACAGCCCCGCGTGGCAGTCCGATTCAGTCACCGTGTTAACGGCCTAAGAACGTGGAGGTACTGGTGGCGGTTTTAAACCCACCGATACACCACCATATATCGGCTGAGGGTGTCAGCATGAAACCCGCACCGCTTTGGAGGCCGATGATTTTTTTTTTTTTTTTTTCTACGCCTGCGCCACCCGGACCCAAACTCTGAAGAGTTGTTGGCGACGAAATTGTCCTGCAAGGCTGGGGCCGTGTGCTGGTGGTTTAAAATTTCAAAAAGAATTATAAAAATGGAAAAAAGAAGAAACGGGAAGAGAAGAAAGGAAGAAAGAAAGAAAAAGAGATAGGTGGGATGCGCAGTACTTGCACGACCATCATCTCATCTCATGTTTTTCTTTAGGACGTCTTCTGGACCAGGTGCATTAGGACGAGTCCAACGTTTTGAATGCATCGCGTTCAGAAAAAAATATCCAAATGCATGTGGACATTGTGGAGTGTTGTGTGGTGGAGCGAGGCCCGTAACCGTAATGTGGCGTTTGAAGCCAGTAGAGAAATGGGCTTTGGGCATTGGCAGCATGTGGCTGTTCGTAGCGAAAAAAAAAATGTTAAAAAAAAGCAAAAAAACAGATCATAAGTCTGAAACCGAAGGTGACTGAATGATCTGAATCGTACACACATATGAATGTTAGTCATAGCTAATGAGTTTTGAGTTCTGGCAGAGCACAATAGTGCTACCGCCTTCACCCGAATAGAACACGTGGTCGTTATAGCTGTATTTGCATCGACTTTCAGTCTAGACGCAATGATAATGATTGGGCGTACTATTCGGTGAGGACTGTAGGAGGTATACCCCTTTCAGAAAAAGGGATGAAGGAAAATGGGTGTGAGGCACTGGCGACAGCCCAGAAGCAATGCCACAAGGGAAGATGGGAGACATCCGCCAAGGCAAGCAGCAAAGCATGGAAAGAACAGGCATGGCCGGGCAAGCGTGCAGGTGGCATAACAAGGTCCGCCAGAGAGGCCGCAATGCAGGCAGGAAGGAAAGCGGGGGGCGAGGCAACAAGGCACGTGGACGGCAAACACTGAGCAATAAGGCGCATCGGGGCATGCAGGTCACGCGAGGCGATCAGCACATTGAGGAATGGGATGAGAAGTTGCGTGTGCAGTTTCCACCATGTGCTTCGGTCCATGGCTGGCTGTGCGAGTGCCGCCATGGCCTTGTGCGCTGGCAGCTTTAGGTTTTTGTGACAAATCTGGGAACCCTAACGTCTGCGCACTGCCAGCTATGGCGTGCTTTGCCGCCTTGACTACCGTATTGCTCTCAGGTGGATGGGAAGACAAGTAGCAAGGCAACAAAGCACACAACATACAGGTCGGCAGCAAACCCATCAGAAAGGCAATGAGGCAAAAGGGAAGACGCACGGCAGGCAGCCAAGCTGACATAAAAGACCGTAGCCAGGCAAGAGGCGGGCAAGGCGTGCAGCAAGGCCCCAAGGCAAGCAGGTGGCAGGGCAGGGTGCAAGGCACAAGACACGCAGGCAAGCATGAGGCCGCAGACGTGTGTGTGTGTGTGTGTGTGTGTGTGTGTGTGTGTGTGTGTGTGTG